TTAAGTATTAACATACATAGTAGCACCTCAGTTAGTTAGTATTGTGACAGCTTATTAATTCCATGGAAGTAATTGCAGCTGTATTTTAGGAAATATGCTGTCTTTGCAAGGAGAACAGAGACATGTAAATACTGAAGTATAATTATTTGACACCTATACCATTTATTTAAATAAATTACAAGTGTTGGGGGGCGGGTTGCTGTTTTTTTTTGTGGAGGATAATAGCCTAGAGATACCTCTTTCAGATTTCCGTCTTGACATGTACAGAAATAAAAGTTAATACAATTTTATTGCAACTAGGCAGTGTACTCTTTTATGCGAAAAAAGACATTTGCCAGAAGATTTTTCTCAAGAATTCCAACCTGCCATTTGGTAGCATTAAATACTTATTCAGTGTCTCTGGGGATTTGCAGAAACAGTGATGGGAAGGCTGGCCCTTATTCTGCTGTGTTTCAGGATAGCCATCTTAAACCATGCAAATGTCAAGGTGCTTCTACTCCACTGCCAGCTTAATTCTGTCAGGAAAGTAATCTTGTGTATTATGTAGATGAATTTGCAGTTAATGATATCTCTACTCATCTTCACAGATAACTCGTCTGAAGATTGATAGGAATCCATTTGCCAAAGGCTTTAGAGATTCGGGACGTAACAGGTAGGTGTTGGGGAAAGAGGTGGCCTTGTTACTGCCAACACAGTTGGTTCGTGAAGGCTGGTCGAGGGGAACACCTGTGTTTACAGACAGATCAGTCTGAGGACTTAGACTCCTTGAGGAAGTGCTTAGGCTTCCAAGTAACGTTCTCTGTGGTGGGCTCCTGCTCCTACTCCTCTGACCATCTAGGTCAAGAAGCGGTTGGCACTCAGCTTGACTCATGTACTCAAGTTTCCTTTTGGTGGTAGCAGTGGCATCCTTTGAAGGCTGCAAATGGAATTAATGCATACTCAGCTCTGTGATTTCAGGCTGCTTCTGAAATCTCTTTCTCCTGGGTGGAGAACCTGCAGATACCAGTGTTGAACTGTAAGCCCAGTTTCTCTTGCATGTAAGTGGCATTTAGTATGGATGAATGGCTTGTTGTTTTCTCTGCAAGGGGGAGAAACCAAGTCCTGTCATGCAGTAACCTTATGTTCAGTACACTTGCCTAGAAACTGGGACACCTGTGTTCAAGTATCTCCTTAGCCTAAGAAGTTTTAAATCCACTTCCCAGGTGAATGCGTTTCCTACTAGGCTATAGCTGACCGTGAAATAAGCCTGGTTTCCACCTCTTCTATTGCAGTTGGACTGATTACTTGCTTGCTCTGTCTTGATTCATGAATCTTTCAATAGCAATGGGGAATCTGAGTAGTGCAAAGTGGAGACTTGGGTCTAGTCCCTGCTGGCAGCACTGATGAGCTATTTTATCCAAAGACTGTTTAATGCAAAATACTTAAGCTTGTTATGTATTGTATGCTAAATCATTTCAGCTAAAAAAAAGCAGCATTTAATTGTGGTGCATATTATACATCAGTTCCAGTGACCACATCATGTTTAGTGTCTACGGCTGCTATATTTATGACCTAGCTTTGCAGAGAAGGGAGCTGGTAGGAATGTTCAGAGAGTATCTTTTGGTAGCTGCTTTAAATGATCTTCTCTTTTAGCAGAGACTGCAGCATTAAAAAAGCCTGTTTTGTGCTTCCACCCAAGTTTCATAAATGCTGAAACTGGACAGCAAATCAGAGTAGTTTTTTAGAAGATGAAGAGTTATAGAAGAGGTGGGGTAGTTATAAAGATTTACAGAAATTCACTGTAAGTATCTTTTCAGATTGCACTCTGCATTTGCTGCTCTCTAGCAAGGATATCCAGAGAGGGTTTTCTGTTTATCTGCTAGGAATAAGTTTGGTTCAGACATTAGAAAAAAAGCAGGATATTTTAATTGAGAGACAATGGATTAGACGTCCAGTCCTGTAGGAAGGGACAGCCTCTGTCACACTAAAAGCATTGAAACCTCATCTAAAGCCAATTCTGAAATATTTTACAAACACACTGGTTATGGAAGTGACTCTGCAAATTCTTGTCTATTGCAAATTAGCATTGGTTTACTGCAGCCAGTATTGCTGTTTTATTTGATAGTCTCTGTGGTACTAAATAAGCATGTTTGGAATGCAGCCCAGAGTTTTAATTGTTGAGCAGAATTAATTTTTAAATTTAAATTACAGGTTTTACTCATTTGATTTTTATTTTACTCTATTACTAAATACTGAAATTAAATGCTAAGATTCCATTTTCTTCATTGTTCTAGCTGGTATATTTATTACTGAGGCATTCTAGTCAGCAACAAAGCTGGAAAAACAGTGCTGTGGTACCATTATATCCAACTTTTTAACGTTGCTTTAATTACGGCAGATAACTTACTCAGCACTGCTGCGTGTAATAGTTCTGTTTAATTAAAAATATTCCCTTTCAGATCATTCTCGTTCAGTCCCACAGGCTATTTTACAGAAATCAGTAGCTTCACCTTTTAAAAGCATTCCCTGTGCATTTGCAAAGTGCAACAGAATTTATGTGCTGAGAATAGTTTCATTCTTCAGTTAGGCCTTAAGTTTGACCCTATAAAAACTTTTACTCGGGAAAGGACCAGAAATTTTCCCTTTAAATACTTCAGGAAAAACATAACTGTTTTCTTGAATAAACTTGGCCATTTGATAGCATAAATTAGGTGGTGATAAAATGTGGAAATTGTTCGAAGGCATCTTGTATAAATTATCGCCTTGGCTACACTCCTCCAGGAGGTAGCTTTTATCTCCACTTTAACTAGAAATGAAAATTCACCATTACTGCTGAAAATGAAGGCTATCTTTTTAGTCCAGGTTCAGCTAATAAATACTTTATAAATGTTTCCTGACATACATTTGTGATCCTGCTGGAAATGCAGTGGGTAAGAAGGAATATCAGAAGAACATGTTGATAGTTTCAGATTGGGCTATTTGCATAATTCAAGTTTACAGAGTGCTGCTGCTCAAAGGGAAGCACTTGTATTTGGTGTGTGCCTGATGCTGACGCTTAACAAGCCTTTGGGCCCCAGGAGCCAAAAATAACAGCAAAATTATACCTCTGAGGTGCATTATTCATAAAGTTATGTCAGAAAACAAATGAGCCTTTACCTTCAGGAAATAGAAATTCTTCTAAATACTGTCTGCCATGATTGTCTGCCCAGTTGTTTCTGTTTCTTCACAATGCTTTTGAAAGAAAACGACAGAAAATTTTTAGTTTCCAAAGGCACATAGTAATCAAGTCACAGCACAGCTTTATACATGTCCATAGCAAAAAGCTGAACACCCATGCTTGTAAGTGTGATTTTCCCACTCATTGGTAAAACTGACAATCCTGTTTTAATAGAAGTTGTTAGTGGGTCACATTTGTTCCAGGCAGAAACAGGAGATCGTCCCTCTGGCAGTTAGAGCAGTTGCTCTTAAGGAAATGTCATACTAGGAAAACATCTAACATCATTTTAGCCAAGTCTCCCTGCTCAAACAGCCCTCCCCCAAAAGCAAAAACTGTTGAAATAGAGAGCCAGACTTGAGAGGAATTGTAAAACTCTTTGCCTGTTGCCAACCCAGCGGGTGCAGATCACAGTGATCTCATGGATAAGGATGTAAGGCTGTTTTCTAAAAATCGAAATAATCTTCAAAATAATCCTGAAATGACACATGACATAATACAGTTTGCTTTCATGATGTCGTCATGTTTTTATTCTAAATAGAATGGGACTGGAAGCTTTGGTAGAGTCTTATGCTTTCTGGAGACCTTCACTGAGAACACTGACCTTTGAAGATATACCTGGGATACCCAAACAAGGTAACTGTCTTTTTCATATTCTTTCAAAACAAAAAAGCATTAAGATAAAGCTTTGCCCATTATGCTATATAAAACTTTAGGTAAGTGTGTCTCTTGCAGAGAAAAAGCATCCAACCAACCCCAGTTGGCCATTACCTCTCATGAGTTATTTCAAGGTAGAAAACTAATGCTAGGTTAACAGCTGAGGAATAAAAATGCTAGGTTTTAAAGATAAATCTATCACACGTGGAGGAGAGCTCCAGTTATTTAACAATGGAATAACCTATTCCTTAGTGTTATGCTGTGGCTAGATGCACAAAGTAAAGATTATTTATAGATCAGTTCTATTGTACACATTCAAACTCCAATGTAGGAATTACTTGTGTGTTTAAGAGAAAAGAAAGAATGAGAGAAGAAATATTCTCTTAAGTAATAGTAGCAAATAGGAGTAAGCTTAATTGGGTTTCTTTCTTGGAAAGCTTTCTTGATTCTTAAAGACCTAATAATTGTTCAGTGAAGTCCAAAGAAACTTTAGCTGCATCCTAGATCTTGAAAAATTGGACCTCCTTTCCATTTTGCTTTTTCCTGCTCCCCAGTTTGTAACCTCTTGGTTTCCACTTTCGCCGTAATGTAGGTAGTGCTGCAAAAGAGCCCTGTTCAGACAGACAGATAAGTCTCTGAACTCTTTTCTCAATTCCTTTATTTCCAAAGTACCCCAATGCATATAGAAAACCTTGTGGCCTTTACCCACCTGAATCAGATGCATTATTCCTGATTCTTCACATTTTCTGCTATCAGATTTACAAACATCCTACCTGCTTTCTTGATAATATATTGCAAAGTCACTAAACATCTTCAGAGCAAAAATCTAGAAAATGCAGTAATACACAGAAATTGCTGTTGTCAGCTTCTCCTTAGCCTACTCCTTTGATAAATCTTTAGCATTAGTGCTTGATGTGGGCAATTACAAAGCTTTTGTGCCAAGACATAGATACATTAGATGAAGGTTGGCAGGATTTTGGGCAGAGCATGGGGGTGAGATGGTCCTCGTAAAAAAGGCCTGTAGTGAGAAGTCGGCATCACACCTGAAATACCTTGTCAGACTAAAATGCAACTCTCTGTGAAGTTAACCCATCTAGGAGACAGACCAGCTGTACTGCCCTCTTTGTATGTAGCAACACTATTTGAGAGTAGAGGAACTGCTGGCATGAACTTCCTGCTTCCATTTCTACTGTTGCCTGACATTAAAGAGCTTGTTGAAGTTGCTGTTGATGTTCAGAAGATGGGAAATGGGATCCTTGCGAAATCTTTAGTCACCTATACCTTGGACAGTAGAGTGGTGTAGAGAATTGTTGAAAGATTCCGTTAGAAATTTGCCCTGGTTGTTGGTGCTGGAAGTGACCATTTTCAGGTAGTAGAGGCATTGACATAGATCAGAAGAATAATAAGTATGCCTTACACCAGTATTTCTGTAATGTGGCAGTGTCTTATGGTGCTTTGAGCTTGTGGTGTCCTGTCAACAGAGCAGAGGCAGAGTTCACTAATGATGTATTTCTCTTTTTATTAGCTCATCTATCATGAAAACCTGCTAACATTGCGTGTCTCTTTGCAGCATCAAAGATTTTGATTGTTTGATTGTTAATGTGGTCCACAAAGTGGAGAGTCTTCCTTGTTAAGTGCCTTCTGCCTCAGAGACTGTGAAAAGCCCAAATTAGCTTTCTATGCTCTTTTTTTTTTTTCCTGAAGCTGTTCTGAAGTTTCGTTCTCAAGCATTTTTCATCTGAAGTTGGAAGTTTTTTGTTCTGAAGTTGTGAATTTTCCTGAAGCTGTTGAACTGTGGGAGCTTGATCTAAGGATCCTCTTCCTTAGCTGGTGCTCTGACAGTGAGAGTGCCTGAAATGCACTCCAGGGTGTAGCATGGGCATAAACAACACAAAATTCTTCATGTTGAAGAAGGCTACCTGTGGTGTAATACTCAGCTTGGCTACATCTTAACTGCCATACCATTCTCTTCCAAGGTCAACGAGTAATTAATATTTTGGGCAGGAGCTCTCAGTATTGAGCAATGGTTGCAAAAGCATAACTTCTGTCCTCTTTCTTGGCCAGGTTGTTTCTTTAAAAATACACGTGCCATGCACCCTATCCCCTCTCACCCCCCACGTGTGTACAATATTTTTCGAATGAATGCAAGCCGTGGTTAATGTCAAGGGTTGTTACAGAAGGGCAAAGGTCTTTCTCTGTCACCTGGGAAGTGAACCTTTCTCAACATGCTTCTTACTCTGTAACATTCTCTTCCAGGAAATGCAGGTTCCTCTACTTTGCTCCAGGGATCTGGCACTGGAGTGCCATCTACCCACCCTCACCTTTTACCGGGTTCCCCTTGCTCATCTCCAGCCTTCCACCTCAGTCCCAACACTAGCCAGCTCTGTAGCCTTGCTCCAGCTGACTACACAGCTTGTGCCCGCTCAGGCTTGACCCTGAACAGATACAGCACTTCTTTGGCTGAAACTTACAACAGGCTCACAAACCAAACCAGTGAGACGTTTGCACCCCCAAGGACTCCCTCCTATGTTGGTGTGTCGAGTAGCACAACTGTGAATATGTCTATGAGTGGCAATGACGGGGATGCATTCAGCTGCCCACAGACTGGCTTATCTATGCAGATTTCAGGGATGTCTCCACAGCTCCAGTACATCATGCCATCCCCATCCAGCAATGCCTTTACCACTAATCAAACCCACCAAGGCTCCTACAACACGTTTAGATTGCACAGTCCCTGTGCGCTCTATGGATATAACTTTTCCACATCCCCTAAACTGGCTGCCAGTCCTGAGAAAATTGTTTCTTCCCAAGGAAGTTTCTTGGGGTCCTCGCCAAGTGGAACCATGACGGATCGGCAGATGTTGCCCCCCGTGGAAGGAGTGCACTTACTTAGCAGTGGGGGGCAGCAGAATTTCTTTGACTCTAGGACCCTAGGAAGCTTAACACTCTCGTCTTCTCAAGTGTCTGCACATATGGTTTGATGAAACCTTTAAGTAAAAGTACAGTATGTTTGGTGTCTACAATATATTTCTTTCGCAATATGAAAGGACACTCGGCGTAGCTTGTAAAGTGTGTGTGTATATATAATATGAGAGGAAGTTTCACTGAATTTTTGCCTCGCTTGTGGCCAGATTATTCTCCTATTTTGTGTTACACAGAGTTTGCTGTGGTGTAGACTGCTTTAGTTTTCTGGTATAATACCCTTAGTTGTATAACACGTTGGGACATATGAAACAAATTAAGTAAGACTTCCTCCCCTTTCCCCCTCCTCTGTTCTAACCCCTTTAAAGAATGAAATAACACTTGGAGTACTAAACAGCACACACAAGCCCACTTACACTTCCTAGAGTACTAGTGAGTTTCTTTTAAGACATTGACACAATGATAAGTTGATGCACCAAGGGCATTTTACAAGTTTCTTCTCTGTTACAAGGGATCTGAAGGGTATTTGGATTTTTAAGTGTTAAGAATCAAACATCCAGCCTAAAATAGAAGTTTAGCTAATGGATTATTTACAAAGTAAACAGAAAGATTAGCTTGCCTTCTCATGATACACTGTTTTCAGCTTTTCAATGGCACATCATTCTCGCTAGGATTTTCTTTCAGCATTAGCCTACAGTTATGATTAGGTATTTGAAGATAAATAATGCGTATTCAGATAGTGGTGAATGAAGTAATTTAAACCAACAGCAGAAGAAGAGGCATTCCTCAGTACAGAATGAACTTTGGTGTGCTTAATTTTTGTCAAAGGGAAGGGCTTGATGCATTTTTTTTCCTGCATAAATATTGCCTATAAGACATTTACTGGACAGTAGGGTAATCTAATGTGTCTTTGGTTTTGTATTTTTAATTTTTTTAAAGGAAAATGCAGGTTTCCTTGGGTGGGGGGGGGGGGAGGCAAGGAGGATGAGAAGTTCCATTATTGATTTTACCCACCTATGTGTGTGTGTGTTTGGTTTTGTTTTTTGGGGGGGCTTTTTTTTTTTGTTTGTTTGTTTGTTGGTTGGTTGTTTCTTTTTGTTTTGTTTTGTTTTTTTTAATAAGGGCAAAAAGTCCTCCATCCCCAGTACCTCAGAAATGCACCACCTGTACCAGTTAGGCAGATGATCTTGTTTGCCCACAAGTGTTTCTGGAAGCAGAACTTTGTTGCAGCTGCCTCCCTGCTATTCTGTTTCATAGTAAGTTTTTGCCCTGCAATTGGAAAGGTTCACTTCCCAGTGGCACTTGTGAGAACAGAGATCGTGACCTGCTCCTGACCAGGCTCCTCCCAAGTGACAAGGACACAGGCAAACACTTGTCATGGTGAAATTTCTGCTGTCATCTGCACCTGCACAGCCCTGGTGTGCATCATCCTGCTGCAAAAGCTGCCTCTCAGGTACCCTCCTGTTGGAGCTGAAACACAGAAGTTGTGAAGCAGATTTTTATGCTTGAGAGAACAGGTAATCTTCAGCAGTGTGCTGAGTCTCCTTTATGTTGGGAGGCATTATAAAGTGGGTACAAATGTAGTTGAAAATGCTTTCCAGGTCAGTATTGAAGGAGAATAAGGCATTTCATATTTTATGTTTTTCTGTTAGATTTTTTTCTTTTTGGTGAAGGTGAACTATTTTTCTCAAGAGTTCCTATGTCTTTTCTGGCAAACAGTGGTCTCAACCACTCCCACTTCAAGAAAGACTCATTGCAGCTAATATTTCTTCAGTGGGATGGAGATAATGAATGCAGAAACAGTCCTCTCGCTATCTTCTTTTAGTATTTGGGAGCAATAGAGAAACCACAGTGTACTTTAAGCCTGTGCCAGAAGAAGGCTTTATTGCTGTAAGTTACATTTTTGTTTATGTTAAAGAAGAGATGTAGGAAGTTCTTACTCAAAGCTGTAAAGACAGGAGGATGCAACTGATATGTGGGTTTGCTTCTTTGCTGTCTCAAACTTCCCAAGTGACCTTGGGCAATTCACTCAGCCTGTCTGTATCTAACTTTTTTTCTTTTGTAAAATGTGGTAATAGCACTTCTCTGCCTCACAGGAAAGAGTGACAGTACATTGAAGATGGAGCTCATCTTTACAGCTACTGTACAGTGGGCAGTACATTGCAGACGAATGCATAGGTAGTGTACGTACATGAGAGTAACAAAGAAGTCTGCTGCTAGTTTTGGCATTGCAGTGTTGTTCGAGGCAGACCTTCTAGCAAAACCATGCGATGCTAAAAATGCTGTTCAAAAACCTCACACTTGCAATCTGTGGAAAGGTTCTAAGATGTGTAGAAGATGAGCAACATTTTTGTTATGTGAATTGTCATAGTTCTGTTGGTTTAAATTAACAAGAAATGTGTGTGCTCTAGCCAAAACTTTGAAATGTTGCAGTTGGACAAATCTTCAAATGAGAAGAATAGTACGATTAGTCTGTACTTGAAAAGGGATAATTTTCCATGTCATCCTAGGGGATGTGACTAGGTAGAAACGTGGAAGAGCCAAATCATGCATGTTCCTGCAAGGGAAAAAAAAGGGTTGTACGTGGATGTTCATGGAGGTACTCCTGGCAACAGTATGTGCTTCATCATCTGGGAATTCTTTAGAACTGGTCTCTTATTTTTCCTCAAATTATTCTTATCATATAACCACACAATATTGTTTGAAAAATTTGTTCCTTTAAATTTGAATCATATTGTAAATACTTAACTGGTGTGTCATTGTGAAAAGACTAGCTTTTTATCAATATAGTAAATGCTGTATATGCATTATATCTATAAGTATCTGTATTTTACAAAAATGCCACAGAAAATATATTAAAGTGTGTATCCAAACACTTTTTACTGCATTTGGAAAACTGAGGGACTTGAGCCTTTTTTCTTTCCTCTACAACTTCAGCAAGACCAAAGGAAATGACTCTAAGGTAAGCTCTGAAATTCAGATACAAGAAGCTGCAGGGATCCTGCTAGTCCACAATTTTTACATGGTTCAGTTTAACCTTATGTCATTGAACCTCTTTATTATTTGTATGCAAAGGTCATGACAGATGTTGAGTACAAGGAGATGCTGAGGCTGATAGCAGAGCCCTGAGGTTTTTATGCGGGAAGAGGAGATGGAGCAGCTTGCTGGGCTCATTAGCCAGTAAGGGAGGTTTGCTGATTGCTCATAGCCCAGCTTATCCCAGCTGTAAAGACAGTTGCTACCCTGTATCACCCAGATCTGGGAAGTTAGCACTTTCATGTGACCAGGCACTTGAACTACCCTGTATATTTTCTCTCTGTGCTGTTACTTTGGTCATTCCCTCTCTGTGCTGATGCTTCTAAATGCAAAAATCCACTGATTCCTAAAGGCACAATTCACAGCCTTTAAGCAACTGGGTATACTGTTAACAGTGAGCAACACTTCCTCCCTCCCCCTTTCCCCCCCCCCTGAAATATTGTCATGCATAGTGGTCTTATTTCCTATTGTACTGCACTAAATTATTCCGTGTGATGTAGGGCACAGAGCCTGAAAATCTGATCAGTTTAGAGACTAGGCTTTCATAGTCACTTAACACCAGCACTGTTGCAAATGACCAGAATTAGGGCAAGAGAAGTAGACATTAAATGCTTGATCATAAATATCAGACCTCAAGAGAGAACAAAAGCTTCTTTTTTTAATAAGAGCCTTTTTTTTTGGAATAACATAATCAGACTCTTGAGAGAGCTTATTTCTGCTTCAACAGAGGACAACAGGAAAAACTTGAAAATCATGGACAGTGTTGGCATCAATGCTAGCAAGTCTGTACTATGAGCAGCTCAACAGAAGGAACTTAAATCATTGTTAGAAGCCGCTCAGAGATTCTGTGGGTATATTTTTCCTGTAAAGATAATATATCTAATTAGTTTGTATAGAGATGTGTTTAAAGATGCTGAAGAGTAGCTACTTGTAGAAGTTCATGTACCAACCTCACATACAAAATTACTATTTTGTTGCACTCTTTTGAATACACTGTCAAACTTTCATGACATTAATGTTTAAATTTACTTTGAAGTACCAAGTTTTTATCTCAATAACTGCTATTTATCATGATGAGCTAATGGTCTTTGAGGGCTGTGCACTTCAGCTGACAAAATGTGTTGACTTCTCAGTTGAGCTCTTCATTAATGTGATCCTCAGATTCAATATTTTGCCTTTTATTTAACACAAATTTGATACGTTAATATATGCAAAACTACAGGGAAATTCATGTTCCTCCTTATGTTCCACCAAATTCCTCAGCTACCCAGTTAATTCAAAATACTCATCTGCCAAGATGACACACTCTTGTAAAAAGTGAACATTTCTAGAGAATTCACCTTGGTTTAAATGCTTTTTGTCAGTGGTGTTCTATCCATACTTTGAAAAGGTGTTTGTTACCCCAAAACATGTAAGTCCTATATAGTCACTACTTACTTTTGCAAAGCAGTGTTGAATTTGCCATAAAACTATCTCACAGAATTTGGTGCCCAGAGCCCTGACAGTGGTTCCAGCAAATGAGAATCTGAATCTCATGGATGTGTAGAAAGGTACAGCCCTCAAATAGGGATAGTTTTATCTATTTTTTATATTTGATCTGAATCCTCTTAATCTGAAAAGGCTAATATTGAAGCTTTAGACAGGAATTTTCTAGGTCTTTCCATGCCAAACTTACCCTGCTGCAGGCTGGTTGAAAGCCCATCCCTTCTTGAAATATCGTCACTTCCTCAGTTGTTCCCCTCTTTTGGGCTCTGTGCATGCAAAAGCACTAGACAGGTTTGCATGGGAAGAGGTCACTACTTACTCCACTGTTAGCTATTACCCTGAAGTATACTTCTACAGCAAAGACTCATTATCCACAGAGAAGTAAATAACCCTACTAAATGTCAGCCATGGTATTTATATCAATTTTAGAATTTGGAATCTGTAAAGTAAACATTTTTAAGAATCATCAGTAAGTCAAAAGATCAGTACTGCTATCAAGAAAATACAAAAGGAAATACTCTCCTGAAATTGATTTGCCTGTCATCTAATGTTCAGAGGTTTGTGACCCTTAAATAATTAATATCTCACATCTTTCAGTCCATCAGAATCAACATTAAACCTCCAGAAGCTAGACCCATTTTCAGATTTTTCCTTTGTGGCCTTTCTAAATATTGGAGGTAATGCCCGAGTTTCAAGACATATGCTTGGGCTCCAATTCTGTGGCAAGGAATGGCAGGAGAAATGGAGGTGGCAAAAATGGACCACGTAATCCCACCATACATCTAGGAAATGTCACAGGTACTGTGATGATGCCCACAATGTGTAGTTCTTTCCAAATGTATCTCAGTGCACCTCTGATGGGAGTTGGTAGGCTAAAACGAGGACTGACATCAAAAGATAGTCAAGAAATATAAAATATTATGTGGAAAGACTTGTGCTACCCAAAAGCTGGGCTACTGCAGTGAATGTGGCTATAGCCACTTCAGCTATGCTGTGCCTTCATGTTCATTTGCACATCACCAGGTTTTCTTTGGATGCTATAATACAGAGCCAAGAGTAAATTGAAAGCATATTGGAGGAAACCTGGACCTCACTGTGGCCAGTGGTAATGTTGCCCCTGACTTGAGCTTTATGGATACCATGTTTTCAGACCCAAAGCCATCCCTTTCTGTTGCCAAGTGCTTTACCCAGGCAGCAGCTGTAGTCACCCAGGGATGTTCCTCTGGCTCTTTTAGGTGTTTTTCAGGTGGATAACTGGCTTTTTGCCTTTCACACTTCATATTTTGTTTTTAAGTCTGTGCTCCTGCAGTTTTTGAGCCACAGTCTGTCTCACACTGAAAGATAAGACAAGGCTGGAACTTGGTGCTTCCTCCCCTGGAAGCCTTGCCGATGGATGGTGTATTCTCTTCCACTGCAGATAATTGACTATATATTTACCACAATGTTTTTATTGTATTTTACAGAGAAAAGTAATAAAAATAGAGTCTGTATCACAATC